GGGCCGTGGGCGCCGACTACACGTTTGCATCCTATGCATCCTGCTTCGCTGCTCCAGGGCGTCAGACGAAGGTGCACTCTACACTTGGGCGTCCCCATGCAGCCCATGTTGGCCAAGGCTCGGAATGGTTGAGACATGTACGCTTGTGAACTGCTATCGGAGTTACAGCTTGTTGCAGCTCCACTCAGGCCTGCACTTCCATCCAGGAGCTTCTAAAGCGAATCCTGAAATCGGTGCCACGCAGTGGGCAGGCTGCTGGGGATCAAGCAGCTGTTACATGTTACGATCTTCTTGCTTGTGGGACTTGTGTAATGTGATGATTCTGCTGATCTTTGGCGGTTGTCGAAGAGCCACCGGCCACCTTGATCGTCCTTGCCATGTCACCACATCCTTGACCCGTCAATCCCAGAAGCAAAATGCCCTGCAGGCAACCAGTCCTATCATGCTTTCTGCCGAGTTCAAGTGCCCTCGGTTTCTGCCGAGTCTTGCAGGGGAACGCCAACCTATGCGGCTGTTCGCACTCAGAAGCTACTCGAGCCACCCTGTGAAGCTGTCCTGTGCTGTGGACACGTTTCGTGTGGAGCTTCGACGGGCGGGCTTTTCCTGGCGCACCGCGGCTGACATGGGGAAACAGATTTGTAAACCATCCTATGAAGCAGGGCCGGATATACCACCTATCATATAGTCTCCGTACATCTCCGTACTATCAGCTCGCAACGCTGAGTTGAAGCAGCTGAGTCAGGAAATCTTGCAGGTTGCATGACAGCGCAGGTACGATGGTCAACGCGCCCAGATCCACGTACTTCCCGGAGGCCACTTGTTCGACGACCAAGCACTGGCGTAGAAAAAGCCACTAGCTTCCCATCACGTCCCAATCATGGGGTTGGCCTGGGGTTGAAAGCATGTGCAAGTTGGAATTGTAGCCCACCCATCCGCACGCATGATCTGCAAAGGTCGCGTCAAGATTTTTTCGCGGAAGCTGGATGACATGACCTACAAGCAACTCGATGCTGAAGCCTGTCAACTCCGTATTTCACAGCGGATGCGGCGTTCCGGCATGCGAAGTCGATGTCCTCGACGACTCAGGTATCCAGATGTGGTCAAGGCGGTCCTGAAATCCTCCAAGACGCAGTCAGCCTGTGTGTTGGACGCCGAAATCGTTGCTTGTCATGATATAGACCTCAACAGCTAAGTTCGCTGCAGTATTTAGTTGGGTGCTTCGTGGACTGACAGTCTGTAAGGTTGCTGTTGTGCCCAAGGAGAACACAGAGGCAAGAGTGAGAAAAGAGCCTGTCATGTTCGGATCGTTGGCCTCGTCGGCAGGAAGGTCCGGGAGAAAGTAAGGAGCTGGAAAGAAAGGATGGCAACAAGGTGGAAATCGCTGTGCCGTGGCTGCATGGTCACTCGATGCATGGTATATGCAGCTGTTTGTGGCAGTTTGCAGTATGTGCGGGTCAAGCTGGCAGAGATGTGGATACCAACTCCGACAGTTGGCCGCCGCTTCTGCTTGGCTGAGGCCTTCCAATCACTGGCCACTCGGAAGCGCAAGCGGCTTGGCCTGTAATTCCCGCGCATCGGCAGCTGAGAGTGCGAAACTTTCCTCGAACCGAGCGGTGGATCACTGCAGACGAGGAACGTCACGGAGGCCAATGCTGCGACGACATCCGTGGCAGCGGCAAGGCTGAAAAGGATGAAATATTGTTTTTGTTGAGCCGCATCTACTGCTCCCCCATGTTCGTGACCATAGCTTGTACTCGTAGTTAGAACCGCAAGGTTAAAGTCTTTCTTTTCGACCTCCTCTTTCTTGCGGAGGCCAGTGCAGTTTCGTACAGACATGTAGCAATGTGTTGCAGAGCAGATTACTGCAGGCCCGTGGGACCTTCAGAAACTAAATCCGCCTTCCCCCACACCCGAAGCAACCTTCCTGCTAGCTAGCGAGGAGCCCTTGATCTCGTTGCCCTTTCAGCAGCGCCGAGCAAGACTCAAAGAAAGCTTCGCAGAAGTGGAGGCCGAAGGGTTGCCGGGCTGCCTCATGGCTGTGACTCATGGCTGGTTCGATGAGTCGATTCTTGCACGTCTTCCGCCTGGAAGGATCTTGTTGCTTACGCCGAAGCAGAGGACTTGGAGGTGGACTCACGTCAGGCTCTGCAAACGGTTTCCCAACTGCTTGCGGCACGGCCCGGCAGGGCAACGCGGGCTCAGCTGAAGCGACGCTCGAGGCCGGCGAGCCTGCCACCAATGTCCCTTCGCCAAGTGCCGGAAATCGCAAACGTAGACGTAAAGCGGTGTAAAGGCATAACCCGAATCATCCCCACACTGTGCTTACGACACGTGAGGGTTTGACCCAGCTTCGGTGTAGCTCTCAGGCGGCTCTGCGACGATCTGTGGCCATGTCGTGCGAGGGATTGATGGTGCCTGTTCTGCAATTGCGCTTGTTTTTATTCAACTCAGCAGCAAAGCTTAGCTGGTGCTGTCTCATGAAGTGGCTCTTTGCACATCAATCTGCACGGCCAGAGTTTTGAAGGGCCGGTGCCAGCTGCAGCTGCACCACACTGAGGTAAAGCATCTGGATTCAGGCTATGAGCCGTCAACAAAGAGGTCCGACTGCTGGCTGAAGCTCAAGAAGGCAGCCCGGCGAAAGGGTTCAAGGCATTTGGTCTCAGCTACCGCCAGGCAGCTTGAGCAATCGTGTGGGATTCTCGCGCTGCTGAGGACTACGTTGAGAGCATGGGTGACTCACTGGATCTGCTGCTCGAACTTTGAAAGCTGGTGGTGTTTCCTGCGTGTAAAGAGCTGGTCGTGGAATTGTCTGCTGGTGAAGGCGCCAGCGGTTCATTGAAGGCAGCTGCCAGCCGAGGATCCCCATAGGCGGCTGGCGCGGCAGCGGCCGCAAATCGCGCTGGGTGTCTCCCTGGCTGCTGGCCACGTCCGAAACCCTGTGAGCTGTGTTTGTGGTCAGGTCCGAAAGACCGTCAGGGAAATTAGATCGATCATGTCAGCATGAGGTATGATCCCGAGGAAGGCACATTCGGCTCGGTTTGCCGGGTGATGTCTGGTTTCAGCGATCAGTTCTACAAGGACTTCAGCCTTACAGTGCACCGAAAGGATTGTGCATCGAGAGCACGCGTGCAGGAGAACACCCTTCGCTACCTGGGCCGGGAGCTCCACGTCGGAGCCAAGACCGAGACCGATGCGGAGGACGAAGGCCGGCCTCCTTTCTCCGACCGTGATGTGACATGGGCTGTAAGATGAACGGCAAGGTGAAGATGCAGACGAGGATGAAGTTGAGGTTGCCTTGAGACTTGAAGTGCCAGGGTCGTAGGGGATGTTGCAGGCACTTGTGCTTGCAGTTCCAAGTGGCAGGTGGAGAGCGCAGAGAGTGCAGCTGCAGAGGAGGAGGTGGAGCGTGTTGGCAACGTAGGCATCAGTAGGACCCTGCGACATCATATCTGGACAGTTTGAGCCTTGCAGGACGACATGCCGGGGAGCAAAGGCAGATCCTGACAGCAACTTTTGGGGAAGAGCATGGGGAGGCCACAGTTGAGGCGTATCCGATCATGAGCACAGGCTTGGCCGGGATGCAGCTCCGGTCCAAGGCCGGAGGGGTCAAGCCAGAAGCCACACGTAGCCGCACCATGTGCGCTTGTGGAGAGACTGAGGCCGGAGGAGTGGAGACGTTGGAGCAGCCGCAGTTCTGGTTTGAACCTTCTGTGCCTTGGCCACTACCGAAGCGAAGGCACCATTTCCGGCTCCAGCGCTGGCGTGGCATGTGCCCAGGAAGTTTGGGAGATTCGGGGAGCTGCAGGAGCCCCAGTCACATGGGCAATCCTGCTGCTGCTGTGCTGCTCGTGTTACTGGTATTACTACTCGTCCTCCTCCTCTCACCACCACCACCACCACTACCACTGCACCGCCGACGACTCCTACTGGCACGATTACGCCTGCTAGTGCTAGTCCAGCACATTCAACTTCACTGAACCGAGGACATCACCATCTCTCCAAAGCACTTGGCAGCAAAGGGTGCCTGGCTTATATCAAGGTTTTGTGTGCGTATTCAATTTCGCATGCATCGCGGAGGTTTGGTGGATCCGAAGAGAGGACTCTCGCTGCGATTCCCTCGTTTCATCCGCAAGAGGGAGGCCAGGAGCAACCGGTTTCGTTCGGTGCGGAGCTCCTTTGTCGCATTATGTCGCTTTGGGGCGCAGGACAAGCGCCTGGACCAGGCCACCACGCCGCAGCAGCTGGCGGAGTTTTGATTGATTTAGCCATTTAGCTAACGGAAGAAGTCCGGTCCTGGACGTGGCCCGGCCTGGGACTCCCAAGGAGCTCTTCAAGAAGCAACTCCAGCATCGAGGCCCGCTCAAGATTCAGGGAGTTTCGGGCTTGCCCGTGAAGAGGCCGCGCAAGTGAGCTGGAAATAGTGTTGTAAGAGCTTCCTGCCGATGTTTGTGTCATCAGTTGCAGCTTCATCTTGAAAAAACCCAGGCTGATAGAGCGAGCGACTACTGAAACAGCATAGAACGGCTCGGACGACGATGGCGAGTGCAGAAGTCGCAGCCTACCTGCAAGCAGGAAAATCAGCTTGAAGGAATCTCTGAGCGCATGAGAGCTGCAAGTCCCGGTGCAAACCCCAGGTGGACGCGGACAGAAACCTCAGAGATCTGCGAGATTCTTGGAAATGCCCCAAAGAGGAGACGGGTCCACTCCGCGGGCTGAAGTTCAGAGCGGACAAGACGGGGAGAACGGGGAGAGGGAGGCTGCACACCGGAAGACTGCTCCCAGCGTCTCCCAGCCACGCTTGCTGCACTTACTCCAGTGGTGAGATCTGAGTCTCACTGAGCGTGATGTTCTTGCATCCCACCAGCTGGATTGCAGCAGTGCCAGAACGGCCCAGTTTTTTTCGAGCGGCAGCGCTTCATCGGTTTTCCTTCGGCCATGATGCAAAACAAAACGTCCACGTGCGTCTTCGCGCAACTTCGCAGGGTTCTAGACTCCGGCAGGCGAAGAGAGGAGGTCACGTCGACCTTGAAGGCCGCTGACATCCGCTGACTTTTAGCCTGCAGCCTTGGGGTCGTCTCCCGTGCACGTTTAGGAGAAGAGCGCCTGGCGAAGGCCAGGGCGGCTTGGGGAGAGCATGGAAACTAAGAGTCTAAGAGTTTGAGCTGGTCCCAGGCGCGAAGGACGGAAAGCGTGGCTCGCGAGGCAAAGGGAAGAGACCCACCTGCCTAATCCTGCCTGCCCCGTGCCCGTTCAGAGGCTTTGGTTTTGGATTCCTCGGAGTCGGAGGATGTCCTTGTGGAGAAGGCTCTGGCCTCGGCACTCTCACCACCTTCTCGCGCCCGATCCTGCGAAATCGGATGCGCTTTCGAAAGGTTGAGGCCCAAGTTGAGCCCGAGCTCGAGCTCGACTGGTCACAGCTCGGGGACCACGTCGAAGATCTACTTTGCGGCCATGGGGCCGCCAAGCAAGGCACTTCTGAGAAGCGAGGCTTCGATTGACCCGGCCCGCTGTCGCTGCCAGCCTCTCGCTTCCTGCCGGGGTGTCCTTGGTGTGAACGTCGCGGACAAGGCAGCCTAGAGGCAACGGGGCTTCGGCGCTTGCTGGTCGAAGCGGAACCACACGGCACGCTCTCAGGCCATTTCACTTCTGCATCCACACCCTGCTCTGCCTCTGCGCTCGACCCAGCCTTGGGTGTCTTGAGCGTCGCAATAATTCTCTGTGACTTGTGGTTCTAGGAGTCCTTGTATCAAGGTCACCTGGACCCGCCTCCCAGCTGTCGGAGGAGGAATTTTCCAAAGAGGCTCGCACTGTAGGACCCCTGAAGCCTTGTAGCCCAGTGATTCTCTCGCGGTGCAGGTGCAGGATGTTGTGAAACAAGTTCATGGCCTTTGGCCTTTGCATAGACGGTTGAGCTACGTCTGCTGTCGACGCCAGATGTCAGAGAGTGCGTGCAGGGCTTGCGTCTTCCCCCGCCGGTCAGCCTGGATGAGCTCCGGAAGTCATCCCGGCTCGTTGCTCCGCCAACCCTGCGCCAGCCCTGCGTCAGCTTGCCACTGCAATGAGGCGCTGTGCGCATTTCCGGCAAAGTGGATCGTCCAGGCGAGGCAAACTTCGCGTTCCAGTCGTAGCTCTCTGTGTCTGTCTCTGTCTGTGTGCGTGAGTGTGAGTGGGCATGTGTGTGTGTGTACACGCCTGGACATGGCGACCGTTGAGTGAGAGAGCCATTTTGCTGCAGGGGGCAATGCATGCCATGCCTGACAGTCACTGCCCAACGAAGACACTGNNAGTGCGTGGTGATATCTGGCCTGATCTGCCAGACGCTCCTGCTTTCGGATTAGCCAGTGGGCCCCCTGTGGCACTGGAGCAACCCACTCTAGAGTGAAGCTTCTCGGCCATTCTGTATGGTTGCCCCCGTTGTTTGGTCCTGTCAGCAACTCGTCGCAGTCATCCGTGCATATCCGTGCCATGCCAAAGTGTGTGTGTGTGTGTGTACGTCCTACCATTGGCTGAGACAGCTGGAACATATCGGTCGTTTCTTTTTGCCGGGCTTTCTGCCACAGGATAAAATATACGGTCTGCCAGCACGACCACCTAACATGGCCCAGTCCGGGCATGCGTCCATGCGGTTCAAAGCCAGGTCCAGAAGGCTTCACTTTGGTTGCTTTTGTGACAAAGCATGAGCCCTTTCCCATATCTCCAATCAGCAGGTGAAGCGTAAGCAGCAGACCCTGAGCACTGCAGCATAGTTATGTCAAAGCTTGCGTCATCGCTAAAGCATGTCTTTCAGCGTGTAGGCAGCATGAGACACGACAGAAAGTCGGACAGTTCAGCCTGGGCCACGTTTGACAATGACGATTGGAACAACGACTCTGCATACCCTTCAGCCCATCTCTCGCCCAAAAAATCAAGGTCTCAAGATGTCTCAAGCAATTTCAATGCACAGGCACCTTTGTTCGGACTTGTGCTACTTCCGCGATTACGAGCCTGCGCGCCAGCTTCGGGCGTTTCAGGACGCTTGTCGGCATGGGGCGGCGGTTGCACGAAAACAGCTACGAGAATGGTATCAGCCGAAAATCAAATCCAGCCTCGATAGGACCGAGCCGAAGCTGCACCGGCCCTGCTGCCACCAGGCCGTCTGGCTGGCCTCAGCGCGAGGCCACATGGAGGTTCTATAGGTTGTGCAACCGGATATCACCAGTTCAAGTGGCAGTCTAAAACTATGACGCGCAGCCTCTCACAAGTGACGACTCCAGACAAGGCTGGCGCTCTCGCAGCAACCGCCATATTGGTGTGCCACGCACTCAGCTTCAAAGCAGGCGAGCCCATCTTGCCACGCACGAAGGAGCGGCTTGAAACTCCCAGAGACGCGATGGGATGCATCACTCGCATCAAGCCAAGCTAAGCATGCGAAGGGGCCACCTCCAGTCACCTCAGGAGCAGATGCACCCCACCCAGCTAGGAGCAGGGTTGTTGCAACTGCAGCTGGCTGGGTGTCATCGGCAAGTCCATGTGTTCGCACATGACGTATATTGCACGTAGTATGCTCAAGATGAGGTTGTTGCATTAATTGTCTGCTGCATCTTGTTTCAATATTTCAGGCACACATAATGCAGGCATGCTAAACATGTACTGTACCTGCAACGGATCTTTCAGAGGAACCAAGCAGAGGTTAAGCAGAAGCTGGTGGATGCAAACTGATGTAATCGAGTCTTCGCCTACATTGTCTGTACTTTTAGAGTTTTGCGCAGAGAATATGCGTACGTGTGTGCAGAGATGCTTTTTGTTTACATGCTCGGCTCACGTCAGGTACATAGCATGAGCAAAGACACATATACATCTGCACGTAAGCGTGAATACATACATAAGTTTAAGTATAAGGGTAATACATATTATGTATATGAATCTATATATTTATGGATGGATGGATCGATGGGTGGGTGGGTGGATGGATGGATGGATGGATTGATGGATGGATGTGTGCATGATGGAGGTTGCATGCATGCATGCAATGTAATGTAATGTAATGTAATGTATCTTGTATATGTAATGTATGCATATGAATGCAAACTTGCATACGAAGTTGAATCTGACTTTGAATACGTATATGTGTAGGTGTGAAGGTGGGTCGGTTGGTGGGTGGGTAACGGAGGGTAGATGGGTGGCTGCTAGCAAACTCGTCTCTCTCTCTCTCTCTCTCTCTCCCTCCGTGTCCTTTTGAGGTCGTTTTCCACGCAGCTTCTGGCGCCGTGCTTGGCCAAAGTCGCCAGGCACTGGAGTGTTTTGGAAGATAAATGCGTTCGCTGCCCCAGCTGTTAGTTGCTAGACCGAAATTAAGCTGCGGGGTTTCACGAAGACATCCCCTTGTTCGCGAGGCATGGAAGATTTTACAGCGGGAAACTCAGCACTTGAACTTCTTCGTCCTGTGCGGTACAAGAGGTCCTTCCAGAATCAGGTCCAGCAGTGCCTCAACAGAGGCACCTGCCCATGATTGGCGCTTCCGCTGGAGCCAGGGGGTCTGCAAGCTCAGCACGAGGGGGAATATGTGCTCGGAAGTGTCGAAACACGTCCATGGTCAGCCAGGTTGACAGTCTCCTCCCGTCTCCTCCAAAACAGACGGTACCACAACGCAACTAGGCACTTGTATGCCACCTGCTTCCACACAGATACATCCGTTCGATTTGATGTGAAGCTTTTTCAAACCCTTACGGCAGCTCCGGAAGGAAACTTTACGTGCAGGTGCACCAAAGTACTTCCAAAGCACTTCAAAGGCAAGCTTGCTTCTCAGTCTAAGCGGCCAGGAGCTTCCCTAAGCCCCTTGGACCCTGCACTCCAAACATCTCCAAACATGACCCGCTTGAGGCTGCGACACCATGCAAGTTCGGGAGGGCCTTGTGTTCAAGTCCAAAGAAGCAAAGCCGTAAAAAGAACCGCACTGGACGATTCGGGAACAACCATATCTCTGCTCCCAAGCCCCCGGCATCCCCCAGCCCGGCCCTAGCCCCAGACCTGCAAAGCTCACAAGTGGGGTTGCCACGCTCCTTTTGGTAGTGCATGCGGCCGGCGGCCCGGACGCGCCTGAGCCGTGGGGACAGCTGAGCACCGCCCCGTGGTGCAGTTCAAACCTGCTGCTAAGCTCAAAAGAGAGGGAGGTCAACACTATGTAGGGTCTCGACCCCTAAAAGTGGCCAGGACCCGAAAAGATGTGCTTCGATTCTACAAGACAATGCCACGGCATCTGGCCAGCGATGGCAAAAAGATTCTTTGCTGCGCGAGACTGTGAACCAGAAGATGACCGAGCTTGGAATCCACGCCAAGAACCAAGACTTATCAGCTTGTGCAAGACAGGTGCAGTGGACGGCAGCGATTCAGATCTTCCACGAAGTTGGCAAGCTCAACCTGCAGGGATCCGCCGGCACTCATAGCGCAGCAGTGAATGCCTGTGGCAAGGCCAAGATCTGGGAACGGGCTCTCCAACTTTGGGCCGCTTCTGCATTCCGGCGGAGCAATATTTTCGTTCATGGGGCTGGCATGAGTTCCATGGAGAAGATGGGCAGATGGCAAGATGCCCTGGCCATGCTCAAACACCTCGGAGAATTGCGACTGCAGGCCAACGTGGTCACGGCCTGCACTGCAATGAGCTCCTGTGTCAAAGGCAGGCGGAGTTGCGTGTCTTGTCCCCTTCCATTGCCGGTCCTCAAATGACAGGCACACATTGGCGTGGCACACTGCTAGTCATGGATCGTTTCATGGAACACAGACTGGAGCCCAACGTGGTGATGTACACTTCGGCCATAAGTGCGTGCGAGTTTGAAGCTTGATAGCAAGACACTTCCATTTCCGAGATCGTTCGAGCAAAGCAGCCATAGCAGCCTCCAGTCACCTAGATGAAGACTGTGAGGGTTTGTAATCGTGACTGAAGCCAGGAGAGCTGCTGGAAGGCAGCCCTCCATCTTCTCCATCAGCTTAAAGCAACGAAGGTGCAAGCGAAGCTCGGAGGGCATAAGATAAAGGGAGCTGCGCACCGTGACACACTCTGTGATTCAACATGCCAGCTGCACGGTCCCCCAACATGCTCGGAGTCACACGTAAGGAACGCTCACGCCTACAGTGCAGTGATTGTTGCGTGCGAAACGGGTGGGCAATGGCAACGTGCGTCTTGGCTACATCATAAACTGGCGGCATCTATGAACTTGCAATCAAGCACGGTTGGAGACATGGACAAAGCTGGCAGGTAGCATGTCTTGAAGCGAGGCACTGATGCTGCTGTCAGAAGTGGAGCAGAGCCGTGCCAAGGCTGCAAGAGTTGTTGCAGGCGCGTTGATCACATCCGGGGATCCATGTGCATTTTCAGACGTACGCCTAAACACAAACGTGCAGCATATGAGGAGTTCAGCATTAGATTGAGAGTTTCAGTTGTTCCTTCGGCACAGCATCTTAAAGAGGTCATGGCGAGTGTGGACAGCAATGTCGGCAAGCATGCATCTATCCAAGGGATCGAAGCCGATGCAGTGATTTACAATGCCACCATCAGCGCTTGCGGCGAGAGCGGCCCATGGTCCGCAGTCGTCCACCTATTGTCCGACATGCACATGAAGCAAATTAGACGTGACGTTGTCACGTTTGGAGCAGCAATTGATTCCTGGAAGAAATCTGGATGTTGGCAGCATGCGATACTACAACTGGCAGAGTTGAAGAGCATCCGGGTTTCACCAAATCTAGTGATCTACAACGCAGCTGTAGCGACATGCGAGAAGGGAGGTGCCTGGCAGGCGGCGCTCTCTTTGCTCTCAGACTTGCGGCAGATCCAGCTCCGTGAGGATGTTGTTACGATGAGCAGCCTGATGAGCACTTGCGTTCGTTGTACGCAGCCTGACCAAGCACTGCATCTTTTTTCAATGTTTACCTGTGCTCGAGCCGAAGCGAACGCAGCTTGTCTCATTCGATTCTGGTAGCCACGGCACCAGCCGGAAATAGCGTGCCCGGACCGACCTAGACCTGGTGCGTTAAGAAAGCATCGTGTACTGAGGCAATAACCTACACAGCAGCCATTGGCGCGTGCTCCAGAGCGCAGAAGTGGCAGCAGGGCCTGCAGTGGATGACAGAGATGCAGATTGAAAGCTTGCAGTACGACGTCCTCTTGTACAGCGTCGCTTGGAGCAAATCGTGTCTGCAAAAGCACCGAACCCAATGCGTGATTCATCAGGCCGTCATCAGCACCTGCGAGACGCCGATGCTCTGGCGAGAGGCAGAACAGTTGCGCCTGCACGGCATTAGGCAAGATGACATTCTGAGCAATGCTAGCCGGCTGTCCTGTCATGTCTCAGGTTGAAGGATCTTTCTGACCGCGACATGGAGAAGACACCGGTGACATTGAATGTGGCCTTGCAGCAGGTGTATGTGCGTCCCAGCATCTGCAATGGCCTTCGAGCATGCCTCTTTTTTTGGATGAATGTTTACTAAACACCAGTCTGAAAGCCGAGAGCATCTTCATAACTGTGCGAGCCGACGCAAACCGAGGCAGCTGCAGGTGCGCTTGGTGCTGCCCGGCAGTGGGCCCGTGCCAACCAGCTTCTTCGGCCACTGCTGCTGACAAGGTCGACGGGCAGTTCCCGCAAGCCGTAGTTGAGATCCTGTAGAGGACACCGCCGGAATTTTGTTTAAAGGCCGTATAACTCATCTACTGTGCTGCGATGGCCCTGCGGGTCTGTGGACTTATTTCTCACTTCTCGTGGGCACGTAGTCACGAGGTCCTGCGACGATGCCCCGAACAAAGCGCACTCGAGCAATTAAGCGATGCGGAAGCGGCCCTAAGTCTGGATTCCACTACAGTGCCTTCATAAAGAAGTTCCTGAGAGGTATGCTACCTTCCATCAGAAACACAACTCTGGCATTGAGTGTTTTGATGAGAATATGGGAACCCGAGCCTATGCTCAGTAGAAGCATCAAGTACCAGCAGTGTGTCAATTCAGCAGGCAGTTGAGGGCGTGTTCGATTCATCGGAAAGTCGCTTTCCTCGACATGCGAGATTTTGTGTGCTGTATTGCAACAGCTTTCAGAAATACAGTGCTGCGAAGTCTGTGAGTTTGTCTTTGAAGTAGTTCAAACTGGCTCCGAACAGGCAGGTTGAGTCTGCGCACGCCACGGTTGAGTACGGTTCCCGGGTCCCCTAGCTCGGCTGGATGCCGATGGTATCCCACGGCCCATGCGAACCAAAGGGCCCTCTCCGCACAGCAACTGGACCCAAGCATAGCACTCACAACCAACCTCCATGCCCAGAGCAGCGGATGCGACCACCTTTTCGGCGGCTGCCTCCGCTACAGATGGGGCCTTGAATCCAAGCTCAGCACAACTGATGCTTGGACTGCTTTGGGGTTGAAGATATTGGCTCGCGGCAGTTGGCCAACCTACACCTGTTGCATGACTGAAGCCATCGCGCGAGAACAGTGCTCGGTTGTAGAAAAGCTGAGGATGGATGAATTGAGCAGTGTCGCCAGCCGCTACATGCAAGAGGGATTCGCGGCGTAATGCCGGCAAGGCTTTGCACAGCCTACCAGCATGCCTGCCATGGCATAGCAACCAGGGATTTGCCTTAGAAGGCTAAGCAGATCCAGATTCGATGCAGCTGTCAGCATTCATCCCTCAGCTCCCAGTCCTGCATAGCTGACCCGGCGGAAGCTAAAGCGGGCTTCTCCATGCTTAGTTTCGGTGGCAAGCCTGCTCAGCGTTTGTCGAAGTCTCGCAGGTTACCAGTGCAAGCGGAAAAGGGACCACCAGGTCTGCCTTTGGTGTTCTTAGGGTCCGTCGGTCACTTCTGGTTGCACCTTGTCCTTCTCATGCCCTCTAAATATTTGCAGGGTCTTGCATTTTTCGTTGATAATGTGCTTGCCATGCTGTCGTGAAGCCGGTGCTGCGCATCAGAGCCTGCACGGTACGCATTGCAAATTGGTACGGCGAAGCATTTCTCAGCCTACGCACGGCAGACCCGTCCAATCCATAATCCGTTGCCTGCCGTGGTATCGGTGGATTTGTTACGGTGGTAGCAAATTGTCTCCTCACCGCGAGGCAGGAAGCCTTCCTGTGGGAACGAATACCATCTTTTTGGGCGAAGTCCACACGAGTGCATTGCATCGGTATGCCACATGTATCGGTTTCGGGGCCGAGGAACGTCTGTTCATGCTCCTGGGCAGTGGCAAAGGCAAAACGGACACTGCAGAGCTTAGAACACAGGTCAGAAGTCTGTTGTCAAATCAACGACACTTGCCAAAACGTCCAGACGGATTCCCAGCATGGGCATCCTTGTGCAAATTCCACATCATGCAGTTCAATCCTAGAGACATGTCGCAGACTACACAATCGCGTCTATGTTTGATTCAGCATGCGGCTGTTCGGTTGTAGCCATGGCTGATGGCCGCCAAGTCCACGTGCCTGAGCACAGACATGTCGGTTCCGCTCTTGGCTACAAGTGCGGTTTTAGTGAGGGGGGTAGCCCGTCGTGCTTGAAGATGTAGAACGTGCGGAGCATGAACGCGGCAATGTCTTCATGTTCAGTGGTGAAGGCTCAGCAGGAGATGGGGATGATGAAGTTCTTCAGCTAATTCTCTCGAAACTTGGCTCTGTTGCGCCCTGTTTCTTTGCCTGACTGCAGTCTGTTGCTGGGTTGGACACACCTTAGGATGTCGAGCAGCCGCGTCAGAGTCCCAGACGCCCAAGCATAACACAGTTGCTGTGAGGCTTGCTGGTGCTTGCTGCAGGTACGCCTGCACTCTGTTTGCCTTCGCTGGCTCGAGGTGTGCAGGCAGGTTGCACCTCTTCAACAAGAGTTGCGTCGCGGAACTCCTTGACTAAGGAGCCGATTTCCGCCACCCATCGCCTGGCCGCCGCCACCAACGAGCCCGGTGCACCTCGAGCTCGAGATAAACCAGGCGCCACGTGCCCTCGACGCTTTGGGCTCCTCCCTGGCGTTTCAACTCTGCATGTAATACTCGAAGCTATGCAGACTTCCAGGCCATGAACAAGTTGATCTTCTCACTTACTTTGCTTCTTGGCAGTCACAGCAAGCAGTTTCCCGCCGTGAGCGCAGATGCAAGGAAACTGCGCCCTGCCGCAGTCAGCACTGTGGCGTACTTGGACTGGGCTGCTCTGCCTGAGTTGGTACTTTAAGACAGTCACCGGATCCTCATCGCATTTTGTGACTCTTGAGTGGGTCGCCGCGCTAGTCCTGCGCCGCCTATTCTGTCACGCAAATCCTGCATACGCAGAGGTACACCCAAAGTCTTTGTTCAGACCGGCCTTTCATTAGGAAGTGGTCTCGTAGCAGGTGCACAGTGTCGACATCCGGTGAACACTCCAAAAGAGTTATTTTTCGGACTTGTTGTGATACTTTGCAAGGCAACGTTGCACAGGCATGCGGTAGTGATGTAGTGCAGCTCGTACACGTGGCTGTGAAAAACAAGACAAGATGTCTGAGCAAGACCAGATATGCTACTGCAACCAAGTTCTGTTGCTGGAGAACTGGGATACTCCATTGCACAAACATCGTCGAAGCGTCAGCGTCTCGATTGACTACCCAGGTGCCGTCGTACTTCAGATCATCCAGCAACCGACAGGCCGCTTGCATCAGGGAACTCAGAGACTTTCAAAATATGGTCCAGTTGATGAGGTTCTACACGAACTGCCAGAAGAGGACGAGACGTGTTGAGAGATGTGGATGGAGTTTCCGTCTCTTGCCTGTTTTGCCCTGAGAACGCGGATGCATCCTGGTGCCTCGCTTGCCGTTGCTGGGGTTCCGCACGCCGGAGCCTCCAAAGGAGCTTGCCTGTGCGCTGAGGACGAAGTGCGAGTACCCGCGTCCAAGGCCCCAGCACGTCGCAGTGTTGCGAGCTGCGGCTTCGGTCTGAAGAAGGCAGCGGAGGGTAAAGAGGGCAGTGAAGCAGGGATTGCTCGCCAAAAGTATAGGGCAGATCCCCCCACAGGCCAGCAAAGCTGGACCCTTTCGGCAACGGAGGCGGGGTTTTGCTTCGGGCGAAGGAGTGTGATGGAGTGCTGAAAAACACCGCGAAGTTACTGAAAGGCAGAGGCATTTCGAGCCCTGGTTGACTACCGCCGCAACGACCTTCGACCTCTAACGGAATGAAGGATGGGCTCTGGCTACAGTGGGTACTGGTACTACAAGCTTCCCTTTTTCAGTCGCAACACTGGTGTGGTCGACCCACCGGGACATGCTGAACATGTTGGCTGTTGGCCAACTCGATGCCGTCAAGTACCTCGTAGCTCGGGCGAGATGGACTGGCTCTGGTCTGAACTGTGGAGCGCCTAAAGTCTAAAGCCACAGGGCTGCAGAAGTCCAATCAACCATTGATCACATCTAAGCCGAGCTGAGCAGCTGCGAAGCCCCAAAAGGCCTCGAGAGAGAGCTGCGACCAAGCGGGCATCGCTACCCCGAAAAAAGCTGGCATGCCCAGTCAAGTGTTAGTCAGTGCTTTGTGCAACTCGGTGGCAAGTGCCAGCCCCCAGCATGGGCCTGGCTTGGACGCGCCCCGTGATTTTTCGGAGCGGCCCAGGTCTTCGAGAGTCCTTTTGGACTGGTGGAGGAGCTGCTGGCAGACAACGCCTGGCAGCTGCTGGTGCCTCTGAGCAACCCCTCTCGGCACACAGCCGTAGCTTTTGGGGTTTACCTTCGCATCAACAGTCAAAGCTTGAGATGTTCGATCGATGCCTGCGGGTATTCTATGTTTGAACTGGACTTAGATGAATCGCTCGCTCACTACACTGGTGATTTCGACCACACGGCAATACGCCATTTGGCCATCCACTGCTACTTGTAACATCAGTGAGCCATGTATGGTCCGATTCTTGCCGCATACTCATGGTGGACTGCTGTCCTGGGCAGGCTACCTGTGTCTTACTCAACAAAACGGGCCGGCTTGCCTGATCCTCGGAGCAGCGTGGCCTCTGTCGTTCCACAGGGCCAGAAGACAGTATTTGAGAGGCTAAGCTGTGTGCCGACCTGGCTCGAAACGTTGCATGTGTCGTCTTTCATATGGCAGTTCAACTGCAGATGAGGCGGTGGACCGAGTTCTGCCGGAGTTCTTGAGTATTTGCCCAGGCGGCTGCGTTCAAGCTGCGATGTAGAAGCATCACGACATGCTTGCCTTGCTTTGCAGGCCCACATGAACTTTTGGCCACAGCGCCTGATGTTCTACACAGGCACAGCGCTACCCGTGACAAGTGTGATGGATTCGTCCTTTTCCCAGTTCGGTGTTGGAGAGCGTTTTTACATTCATCGTACCAGTTTCCTTAAACACCAAGCCGCTCGAAAAGTCCTCTGGCAGTGGTGAATGAATGTCAGCATTCATTTGACAGTGGCTTGCTTCGCCAGACTCGGCACTGCACACCCTTCATGGCGAGTGCATGCTGATTCGGTTGTTGCATTCGGTGATCTTCAGCTGTTACATGCAGCACTTGGGCCGGCCACCACAGGATTTTTCTTCCACTTGGCCTTCACCGAAAGCGGGCATCGCTCTGAGCCGCATCGACGTCCATGCGACGTCTGCAGGATAAAGGGTGCCGCGCACGTGATCAAGCAACATTTGGAGTCTCACCGGCATTGCTTGAGATGCGAAGTTCAAGACCTAAACTGGGCCTTTTCATCGCGCCAATCAAGATCTGTAGCATCTCGTCAAAATCTGGAAACCCTTGCTGGTACTGCAAGGGAGAGAGTGTACCCATTCGAGGCTCGGATGCTTCGTCGCTTCAGTACAGAATTCCTGGAGGCACATTTCGGAGAGCCGCTGCTCACAATGCTGTGTCGCTGACACAGTTCGGAGCTTCCCCAAGGCGCAAAAAGAAGCAGACGGCAACATAGCCTTGGAGCATGTGCGAAGGCCAGCTTCTGTACAAGCCGATTGGAGCCGTCTCATCTTCCGGTGAGTTTTCTACCTCTTTGCCCGGAGGTTTCACGGCGTAGGCCAGCATCTCGGGATCAGAATGCGGCCAGTCATGAGATGGAGAGAGCCAGAGAGAGCTCAGAGATGTAAGCACTGTAAGCCAGCCAGCCCTCAGTTCGGGTCAGGCAAATATGCCAGTGATGCCTACGAAATCTTCATCCTGAAGCGACGCTTGCTTGCATTGCTGGCATGGAGTGGAGGCAGAGCTTCGACCACAACGGACTGCCAACACCCTCTCCATATCTTCGCATCAGCACACTCAGGCATTTCCACGGTGCAGCCCACAGATTCGTACTTGCGATGGCAGCTCGGCTCCCGACCATGCAAGGGTTCTGCTTGGCAGCAAGTGCACCTAATGTGTCATACAGAGGGCTTGCAGCTGAAGTAGTGTCTTTCTTGCTGCTTCGCTGCAGCAGCCGCGCAACAACACGAGAGGTACAGCAGCACTCTGCGATGTCAGCTCCGTGAGCACGGATATAACGATTTGGACGAGGGCTTCAGAGACTGCATGTCGCGCGAATCGTTCATGCAAAAAGTGTTTCGTCTGATTGTTGAGTGCAAGAGCCTTTCGACTTTTGTTTTCCTTCGTCTGGGGTTTGAGGTCTGGGGCTGCGGGCGCAGAGAAGGGGCATACGTGTATCTTCCATTCTATATCATGAGTATCTGTTGTCGTGTACGGGAAATTGTGCAATCACTCTACCTGAGGAGTGCTGCAGCATGGTAAACTTCTGGCAGCAGCAAGAGTAGCCACAGAGTCCGGTATGTCACGGCAACACCCGCTATTATTCTACATGAGCATAGTCAAGATTCTACTTTATGCAGAGCTCTTCTGGAAGATCTATCGTGGTTCCATTGGCCGCCAGAGCCTGACGTCATAACCGTTCCGGGCTTTGGGGTCTTAGGTTCTTGGATGTTCTTGGGATTTTGCAGTGCATCGAATACTGAAAGAGGCTAGCTGGGAGAGGTTGTGTGTTGTCGCATCTTGGCAGTGTCCTGCCGGGCAGAAGAAAAGATGCCAGCAGTTGTAGGGAGGTTGGGAAGTTGAAGGAGGACGTTTTCTGTGTAGCTCATGTCGCGCAGTTTTCAAGCTGCGTGTGGCGCGGATCCCCAGGCGCTGCTTGTTTTCGTCGCCTGTGCAGCTTTGGGTTCAGAGAATTTGGCGTTTTCGGGGATTGGCCTTCTTTTTCCAATTATGAGCTGCTGCGGCGGCTGCTTCGAAGGCCGTGGGATGAACAGACGGCATGCTTTCTTTCCTCTTCATGTCTCGTCATGTTTTGAGATATGGAATCCGAACACTGAAACAAGTGAACTTGCGCAGGTCTTTTCTCGAGACAGCATGAGCTCCGCCCGGACAGCCTGGGCCTCGGTGCGCGGCGAGCCAAGGGGCTAAGTCGGCCAACATCGTTTGAGGCTCTCCGCAGAAGCAGCCGCGACCGGTGAAGTCCTACACGGAGGTGCCAGGGAGAAACTTGAGCATGCCACGCCCGGAAGGGTGTTTTTAGACCGCTGCATAGAGGCTCTGCAGCTGGAGAGGTCCCGGGAAGGGACGTGGCAGCTTGGGGCTAAGGGAACCTCCTCAGACATGGCAGCCATCAGATCATCAGTTGCTGGCCTGAGGGCATCTCCCAAGACATCCTTCGACTGGGCACAGATCCGAGCTTTGTCGGTACTTGCATGGCTTTTCGCCTTTTCACCAACTGGGACGAACGTAAGGGAACTCGAGTGCATGAGCATGCATTAAAGGCTTCACCGATCCCACGGCGGCGACCTTCTGTGGTCTCCGTTGCATGGCGCCCCAGAAGATACTGCAGCAGTTTCGGTATGCATGGAACAGTTGAACTTCCTGTTTGAAGGAACTTCCCTAGTCTTCCTTCCAGCCTCAAGCTTCAGGATGGGCCTGTCGACTTCGACATTGTGATAGACATTGACGATGGCGGCCTGGCACCCAGCTGCCAACGCGAAGCCAAGCCCGCAGGGCACCTCGTGCGTCACGGAAACCTTCTCCGCATGCACGAGCATGGCCTTCTCACAAGTTGTGTATCTCCGTCCATGTTCTGAGGTAAGGCCGAGCCCCGCCAGAGACTCAACCAGCCGGCATTACCTCACACCTCATGCGGCGACTTACGAATAGATTCGGATAAAGATTCTGCAGAGACAGGGAAAGCGAGCGGAAGCTGCTTACATCTCCCTGCCCTCCGAAAGAAAGATGCTCATCTCTCCCAAAAAAAACCGTTAGACAAGTCTTCTAGACTTTTTGACCAGCTTTGACCATTGATCTGTCCTCAGAGAGATTCATTTAGAAGGGAGTCGGTGCATGCCTGACCCTGGCTCGAAGGCAAAGTTTCAGAAAGTGTCAATCTTGTGATTCGGGAGTGCCTTTTCCCGAGGGCCCGGAGCTTGAGAGAGAAAACCATACCGGGGAAGTCAAGCATGTGGAAGCAAGCCCTGAATTAGCACAACTTGCACAGCTGGGTCTGAACAGGAACTCAGACCATTGACACGGACATCCCGGCCAGTGGGGAACCGAGTTGCGTGATCGACGGAAAAGTGGCTGCCCCTTGACACACATGGAGTAGATAGGAGTACTGTAGCATGATGTCAGCATTAGCCAGCATGCTGAAATGCCATCGGAATCGAGAGCTTTGACACGGGCTCCTCACTGCCCTTTGCCTGCAGACCGGGTTGGAGCCCAAAATCGTGAACGCAGCAGGCCAGGCGACTTGTGTGGCTTTTCCTTGCACCCGTCTGATTGTGTAGACTAAGTTCTTGAGATCTTGAGTTGTCAGTGTGGACTTGTGCAGTCATGTGGCCAGATCGGAAGATTTGCAGCAGTCCGCCCCTGACAGGTTCGAAAAGGAAATGTTGCTGGCATCTCCTGGCCGACTTCCGCCACCTCTGACAGCAGATCAACGAGAGGAGCAGATTCAGATCCATCGGAAGCTACGGTCGTGGGACGAGAGCAATACTAAGTTCCGTTCTACAGCACTTCGTCTTCATTAGGAGGTCTGATCCAAGCAACTGTTAATACGAATTGACCGACATGTGCAGCATAGCTTAGCCGCCACAGGGCTCAAGCAAGTCCTGCATGTGACTGCGATTCCTGACTGCGACTCTCTGCTTGTTCGCTAGCTGTGTGAGTGAGTGTACGTGCGTGAGCATGCACGTGCATGCATTTTTTGAGGTGGCCGCGAGTTTGGGGGCGTTGAAGCTGCAATTCGATGGTTGGTTGCTTTCGTGTCTTCTTGCTTGCTTGAACTAGACTGCTGTCTGCTGAAGACTGTCGTTGCTGCTTCCCGGCATATCGGGCGTGTTCGCATTTCGCCTCCCGCGTTCGAGCACAGTCTGGGCTGTTTGTAGTGGCAGGAAGCCATCCGGCAGTTACTGCCCACTGCCACGTTCCAGATGTTGGCAAAGGTGTGGGCAGCCAGCATAGCTGGTGCAAGCTGGGCGGAAGCAGTCAGACCCTGACAGAGGTGCCGAAGAAGCTGCTGACACAGGCCGATGAGTCGGCCAAAAAGCTGAGAAGGCTCGGTAATGCGACGCAGGTGATGTTGGTCGGAGTCCTCGTGGATTTGCAGGAGTTGCACAGCCACTTCACGGACCCTATCTGTAGGCTCAAAGTAAGGAGCATTTCTCAGACCCGCTTTGCTTCGATTCCCGCGTTGCGAACATGGCCACCGAAGTGCTGAAGATCAGCGATGGCACCACCATGGATGCTCGGCATGTCATGAACAATGCGAATCGAGGTCCACCTGCAGTAGTTGCACCACGTTTTGTGACAGGATTAAAAAGATGCGAATACATTGATTTAGGCAGGCGTTCTTGGGATGGCTCAGGGAGTATCATGTGAGCAGAAGTCGTGCGGGCTTAGTTTCCGGAGCAGGTCGTCCCTTCGTTGCAGGCTCGGTGTATCCAGTGAAAGAAATAGACCAGGGGTTTTCCACAATCAATCAGCCACATCATGCTACGAGACAGATGCAGACTGTCGATGGCAGCATCCCCCATGACTCTACTATTCCCACAACAAGGCAGGGGAAGGAGCAGCCTCTCCATGCGCACGATGAGCATGGAGGACTATGAAAGCAGCAGGATCAAACGCTGGAAATAGGAAAGGAGCCTTATGATTCTCCTGTCCTCATGCTATGTGTTTGAAGGGAGGAGAAGAACTTGCGAGGCAAAACCTGCTGCGATCTTGTGCAAGTCCATTTGATGCTGCTCGCATTCATCTTCCTCCACTTTCCTCGCGTGCCTGATCCTGTCCAAGTCAGGAAATCTGCAGACTGCCCGATGTCGATGATCAGACATGGGCAGAGGTGCGAGCCTATGTCGAGGGCAACCCTGAAGCTCGGCACTTCATTTCGGAACATGGCTGTGCCAAGTGCGAGGGCCTGCAGCCATGATGAGCGGTTAGGTTCTTGTAGGTTCCTCTTCTGTTCCAGTCTCTGCGACAGATCAGGACACCGCGAAAACATTGAAGAGCTTCTCGAAGAATCCTGATGCGATGAGGGGCTGGCTGCAGACCCAGGCCAGCAGACAATGTGCGTCAACAGCAGCTTCTACTGCCTAAGTGATTGGGCTTGCACTCTGTCTCGCAGTCTCTGCAGGCCATCGCAGAGCACTACAGCGCCAAGCTGGCCAACGGTGACACCCCCGTCCAAGACAAGGCTCAGCACATCCTCGGCCCCAGGTGTTTTGCCTGCAGTCCTTGTTTCGCAGGTGAAGTCCTTGGAGGCGGATCCAGAACTGGCCGCGATCTTCGAGGATATCAAGAAGAATGGCATGGAAGCTGCCATGAAGTACTACCAGGATGAGGCACCGGGTACAGTATTTGTTTGTCAATATGTATGTCTCTGGTTGTTTTCTGTGATTTTGTTTGGTTTTGGTTCGGGTTTAGGGACGAAGGAGAGGAAGGCATGTCAACAAAGAAAGAAAGGACGAGAAAGCAAGGAAGGAAGGCGAGAGTAAGAAAGAAAGAAACAAAATGACACACAGAGCCAGGAAAGAAACAACAGAAGAGAGAGAGAGAGAGAGAGAGAGAGAGAGAGAGAGAGAGAGAGGGAGAGAGAGAGAGTGCTGTGGATGCCACTCGGGGGGAAGAAAACACTCCTACCCTGCAGTTGAACTGGTACGTACAGTAGTCTCCCCGAAAGCCCCACACAAGAGGTACGGGGGGCCCTATGGGCCGGGGAGCTTCGCACGCCTCCTTTACCAGAAGGAAGAAGAGTGCTGTGGAATCTCACTGCGCATCGCAAGGCTGCCCTTTTCATTGCTAGCCCCCTTTTCCCTACTTGCTTGCTAGCCTACCTTTCCCTTGACCCACACCTTCAAGGCAACCGGTGGAGATACTTTTGATACGGCTGTGAGTATGCCATACACCACAAAAAGCGGGATCCTGTGACTTGCAAGCTGTTGTTCTGCAACGTCCTGTGACTTTGTTGCTTCCTTACTGCCCCCTGTAGGCATGTGTACACCCTCTGTGGTATGACATACTAGTCAGCCTGGGCCAGAACCGCGCTCGAAGTAACCCCGGGGGAGCCAGCATTTCGTATGTCTAAACTCATGGTGTAGATGGGTGTCTTTCCGCCGGGGGAGCAGAGAGCAAGTGGTATACAACAAGCCTCCAAGCAACAGCCTAGCGTACCGGCCTCGGAGGGGTAAGCTGAGTGTTCATGTTGTCCGATAGCAGTGTTCACTCTCTCTTTGTTTGACGGCAGGCCGAGGACTCAGCTGGTTGCAGTCGGCAAGTGAGCATGGGGGGAAAGCTGCATGTGTTCTTGTAGGGGTCATGATTGTGTTAGGTTCCTTTCCGATTTGCTGTGCTCGCAGTAGGGCGGCCGACAGAGCCGATACAGCCAAGCTGGTGGGGGAAAAACCCCCAGCGAGATCCTTCAAAGCCTGCCAGGACATGCAGGTGCGCGTGCGCGTGCGGGGGGAGGAGCCTGACTTGGCCCGAACCCCAAGCCTGGTAGAGAGAGAGAGAGTGCTGTTGGCGGAAGAAGAGAGACAGAGAGAGATAGCCATTTTGGCTCAAGGCCGTGAAGAGGCTCCGCCCTGTGTTGTCTTCTTCTCTCTTCCCTTGCTTCGCCGCATCGGTGTCTCAACCCGGGGACTTTCAAACCTGATCCGACCTCCCCGACGCGATTGCAGTGCATCGAGGGGGCGCGCTGTTCCCGCTGCAGGTCCGGGAGGGGGACGTGGTCAAGTACGGTCCACGACGAGATCCTTCTTCGAGGCGAGCAGAGGACACTGACTACAGCTACCTGTACGGCAAGGCGAACCTGCGAGCCAACGCACCCGCACAAAAAGTGCTTGAAGCCCTCTAAACTGGGCGGGGGACAACATCGACTGGACGGTCGTGCGCAATTGCAGTTCGGCGACCTGACCAGCCATGCCTTCGAATGGAGGAGGAGGCACAACCCTGGACCCGCAAGCGGAGGGTATGCACATTGACCAAGGAGGGGCCCAACAACATAAAGAGGCCCGCGGGGGAAACAGACCCAACACTTACACTAGCAGCGATCCGAAAGACCTTTTGCAGCGAACTGGTTGCAGCGGTGGGAGGCATGAAAGGGGACATTCGCAACCTGGCCCGACGTATGGACCAGATGGAGAACCTGATGACCACGAAGCTACAGCAAACCATCAACCTCCTGGAAAATATCACAAACAAATACTACAAACAGGAGAACATCCTCCAGCAGTTGCAGGAACAGCAGACACAAACGGGGAGAAGCGAGCAGCCCTATCCTCGGGGGATGGGACCCAGAGAACCCAGCCTCAGACACATTACAACAGGCAAAACAGCTGCTCCAGAACCTCGCCACTGATCTGGACATCTCCGAGATCTTTGTACCCGGGGTGAGGCGAGGCTATGCACTTATTCAGTCCGAGACAAGCCGGGGGAAAGCATCGAACAACAGCGAAACCGCATCCAAGAGGCCATTCGCAAAATCCGCAGAGCAGCAGTGGTGGTCGGGACCAAACCAGCCGGGGAACCACAAATGGCCTGGATTGCATTCTCCCAGAGCTCAGAAAGACACCGCAGGGCCGAGCCAAGAGGGGGGCTGACCCGACAGGGCAGCCATAGGAGGCAAGACTCTGGACAGCAGTCCTCCAGGCACGGAGCATAAACATCGCGGCGGGGGACTGTATCACCGAGGTCGAACAAACTAACAGCGTCAGACAAGGCTCCCCTGACTCCCCAGTCTTTGCTGCCCTCACAGCACAAGAACGCACTCGCTCTCCAAGCATGCACACAAGCTGAGCGAATTGCGAGGCCCTACATGGATGACACAGACTTGTGGTCCACGACCATGCAAACCTGCAAGCAGCGCTTTCGGAACTGGAAGGGGAATTAGCTCGACACGGGCTGGTCATTAACCCAACAGCCATCATCTACAGCCAAGCAACCGGGGGACGGGGAGCGTCATCATGGTACTGGGGTCGCCCCTCACTTTTGGAGATGCCGTGCCGACACTGGTGGCAGAAATGCATACACGGGGGCGCGCAGCCTTCAGACAAACAGGTCCTCTGTGCACGAACTGACATTCGAAGCAGACTCGAAGCCTACACCACGTTGGTACGCAACTACTTAAGCATTATGGCGGGCAGAAACGTGGCCAGTGCACGAGATACTGCTCAAGCAGGCCAACCATATGCAATTGGACCAAGCGTGTTTAAGATGTATGATGAACCGGAATCGCCACATGAAGAAGCGTGTTTAAGATATATGATGAACCGGAAGCACCATCTGAGGGGGCAAGTGAATATATATATATATGTGTATGTATGTATGTATGTATGTATGTATATATATATATGTATATATATGATGCGCCGGAATCGCGAAATGAAAGGGCCTGTTTAAGAGAGATATATACGTATGTATATGTTATACATATATAACATATATTTGATGAATATGAACCGGAATCGCCAAAACGAGGGGGCCTGTTTTGGAATAAAAACAAGCCAGATTCTCGGGACGAGGCACCGCTGAGAGGCCCGCGGAAGCCTGAAACCCGAAAAAAGAACAAAGAATGCCACAAAAAATTACACAAAAAGAATTCCAAGCAAACGAAGAGGACAGGCAGGATAAGGCGGCCATGTTCCGAAAACTACAAAAATAGCAAACGAAATCAGAAGAAAAACACCAGAAAACAGAAAAAAAATACAACGATAAACCTCGCTCCTGAGGAACTCATGTTGAAGATCAGCCAGAAGATGGGCGGTCTCCCATCCGAGCTTCAGCCAGTTCTGCAGAAGATCGAGGACACATCTCTCACGCTGCATGAGGCTGCCAAGAAGGGCGACCTTGCAGCGGTCCAGCAGTTCCTGGATAAGAACAAGCCTTTGGATGCGCAAGATCACAAGGGCATCACGCCATTGGGCTATGCGATTGGGGCCAACCGCTTCTTGTTTGCCCTTGAACTTAGTGGCTTAGAGGGATGGCTCGAACTTTTTTGGATGTGTTTGGCGTCGTAGTTGTAGCCTCTTGAGGTATCGCGGTCGTGAAGAAGCTCTTGGACAGCCGGGCCAACCCTTACGCTGTGGACAGCTCCGGCAACAGTGGCCTCCACTATGCTGCCGGCTACGGCCGAAAGGAGCTCCTGGAGTACCTCCTGAAGGTAGGGGCCAATGTCAGTCAGCCCAATGCTCAGGGCATGACGCCCCTGGCTGCGGCCACGCAGAATCGACAGGAAGCAACTGTACAGATTCTAAAAGCTCATGGAGCACAGTAGGAGCAGGCTGCCACAGCCTTTTCCAGGAATTTGGAGCTTCAGCGGGTAGGTTTTTAACCACCGGGTTCAACCACGAAGTCTCGTCAGCGTTGCTCGGCGCCAACTGACGGAGGGCGGCATCCAGCGAGGCATCAGGCATCAGCAGCATGCAGACAAGATTTCATACATGAACCCAGATTTAAGCCACGCTCGCTATGCGCGTGGAGTGTTGTGGTTATTGCATTTCGATCTGCACCTGTGCTCAAAGCACGCGCAGCTGCATTCAGAAAAGCACAACGACCCTTGTTGAGGGAATTCCACCAGTTGCTGCCCACTCGATGACGCATAACCTCGGTCATCCTGGGTCCTTCTCCGACGATGGAATGGCTTGCAGTTGCAGGCAGCTGATGCGAGGAGCCACCGTGGTTTTCGTCACCGCCGGCCTGCCTGGAAAGAGGCCCCTGAAAGCTTGTGGCTCACGTTTTCCAATGCTTAGGAGCAGTTAGTTCGAGTGCAGCCGTAGGTACAGAAACGCAGCATGTCTGCCAACCTTTCACAAGCCTTGTTGACGTCTTTGTGCCTCTTGCCAGGTTCACTTTTGAGATCGCAGCATCCCTGGGCGTGCGCCCCTCAAAGTAGAGTGTGTGGAGCATAGGGCAGAGACGAGTGGACGCAAGAACAGCTGCATTGGTCGTTGCTGATCTTTCCAAACGCTGAGATCAAGCCAGTGATCCTCGAACACCCCGACTCTTGGAGCAGGTCAGTCGGAATCGGCTGCCGGCCTTCAATTTGTCCTTCAATTCTTGAGTTCTGGCTTCGGGCACGGAAAGATGGGTCACTTGCAAAAAGCAGGGACTCGCGAATGGGTTTGCCAAGCCGTGTCTGGGCCGTCAAAGGGCGACGGATGGTTGTGGCCCCAGCAAGTCGGGAAGGATGGAATCTGCTGCGTGCAGGAGCCTCGTCGACGAGGGCCTTGCGGCAAAGTTTATCCCGGCCCAGACCTTGTTCACAGCCTGTCGCTGTCGGCCTTACGGATGAAGTGCAGGGCCGCAGGGCATGTCTCTAAGGTCGACATGACGCAGCCTTCGGAGGATATCTTCAGTCAGCATGGCGCCTAGAATCACTCGGCTGCGCCTTTTCAGACAGAGGGCTTGACTTGATGGCCGTAACAGATCTTAGGCATGGCTTGCTCGGGCTGGTTGTAGCATTCGGCTCGTCGACTGAGAAGATGCCAAGGGCGCTAGAGGAGATCAAAAACCTCGGCGAGGCTCCTGCAGTCGGTCACGCGTCACCGGCTTATTGGTCCCAAGTCTCGTCTCCAAAGCAGTTTAGTACCGGGGAGACACAATGGTGGCTCGATTCGTTCAGTCTCCGGAGCACTCTTCTTGTGTCCGTGCAGGACGGTCTGACAGGGACAGCAGATGGCATTGCAGCTTGGCCTCGACTTACGAGCGCTCAGATGCGAAACATGTCGACCAAGTCATGCTGAAAATACAGAGTCGTTTTGGCGCTTTTGGCGGCTGCGGCAAGCTTGCCGCAGAGTTTTTTTGCTCTTTCGAGTACTCTCGCTCGCGCGGCTCCCCCCCAGCTCCGCCGTGCCAGCTCCGGCGCTCAAGGGCGACTGGCATTTCCGGTCCCGATCTCCGCCCTGATAAGATTGAAAGGCTGAGGAAGATGTTTTTATGGGTCATGCTGCAACTGCTACCAGTAGCGCTTGTTTTGGTGTCCTTTGTGGTTGCCTTTTTAATTTGGCTTCCGGGAGGAAAGGACAGATGCTTGGGAGGGAGGGCACGCACAAGACAAGACGGGTCGGGGGGAACCAAAATGCCCCGGCCTCCGGCCTCGGCGGATTCTTGCAATGTCTTGGAAGGTGACCAGCGGAGTCCAGTCCCAAGAAACATCCTCCCAAGGCCACCTTCGTGGAGCTCTCGGTGCCCCTGGCCGCACGCCTTGCAGAGGCGCTGGGCCTGCCAGGCACAAGCCACGGGCTTCGGAGAGGAGGAGTTTGGTGTTAGCTGAGCTTCAGACGGGAGTAACTAGTAACCACAGGAAGCTGTACTCTCGCTTCACCCGAATCGTGCAGGTGTAAATTATTAAGGGTCGACCTTGAACCATGTTTCCAGGGGGGATGCCGGGGATGCCTTTGCAAGCCTGCCTCTTCCAAACCTATCAGAATCATCAGAACAAGGGTAGATTCTTGGCTATGCCTCTGTCGGCCTCGCATGGAGAGGCCTGAGGCCGGCAGCCGTCGATTCAGCGAGAAATAAGCAGCTCGCCGAGTCTTGTTGGGACCTGCGATCTTCCCCAAAAGACTTCCGGAAGTGCGAACGGTGAGTCTCCAGCTTCACAAAGTCTGAGATCCGAGGCACGCCACACGAGCTTGCTTGAAGACAGCTGGGCTGCCCACCCCAAGGCTGGAGTAGCTGCATTGGCATGTCTGTCGCTCAACGAAACCTAGCAATTGCCGGAGTTGGGAGTTGCACGGCGACTGCGCACACCGTGAAGATCTTCCTTGCAGGAATTTTCTCATTGATGATAAGTCGAAGCTCAAGGAGGCTGGCACAACCGCAGTGCGCTCGGTGGAATCTACCGATTCCTTCTGTTCATCCACTAGCTTTCGTGAGCTCTGTTTGCAGAACTGGCATGGCTTAGTCACTCCCCAGCCGCATGAACAAATGCCAATGAACCAAGATGAACCAAGGTTGGGTTTCCTGCCGTGTTGAAACCTGTGCCCTGCACCCAGTTTTGCCTCGTGCTTCGCATGGAAGGGATCGTACAGTCACCGAAGCTGCAATTTGGCTACCCTGCTTTTGCAGGTCCGGTGCTGCTTCTCTTGGAGTAAAGAAGGTAACAAACTCCGCGGAGATGGAGAAGTCCAGTTCTCAGCCGATCCTTCTAGGATGCGGTAGATTTAGATGTGCACGGCTTGGAAGATTCGCGGCGGTGGGGTCATAGTAGCGTCGCAGCCGAGGTGAGTGCTTCGAAAGTACAATGGCAAACAGTTAGCGAGTCACCTACTTGAACGGATAAGTCCCCTTAGAGCATTCCTAAGGTGTTACAAGGAGATTGTGGACGAATTGTCTACGTTGGTCGTTCAGCGCTCAGGTCCCTTCAAAGAGGACTGACTCTCGGCATGCCTACCGCCTGCGAAATTCAGATCTGTAGCCGAGGTCTCTTCAGGAGCGCTGGTGCAAGGCCCAGCCCAGGGCCTGCTGCAGCCGTTGTTTGCTCTCTCTGCATCTGTTTCGCCCTGCGCAGAAACGAAGCATGAAAGATTGAGTGGGGGTCCTTGTCGATTGTGAGCGTCCCAAATCTTGGAAACTCTTCTGGCAAAGCTTTTGGGGGCCAGGCCCAGCAGGGCATCAACTGCATTTCTTCGTTTCGTTGAGATGCTGTTGCAGGATTGGCGAGCCCTTTGTTGCAGAATCTCTAGTGCTCTAACTTTTCAAGATCTTTCAAGACTTCTCTTGAGCTCGAGGTCATAGAGACTTGTGCTGAGGGGCTCAACAACAAGGTTGCTTCTCCAGCGGCACTCTGCCCACCCACCTGAGCCCTGACATCTTAAAGCATGTGTGCCTGCTTGAGGTAGGATTTCCTGTAGGTACGATGTGTAAAGGAAAATTCTGTGAAAGATCGGAGGCAGCCCTGACAACGCTGGGCTCAACGCGCAGGAGGCAATGGATACGTCATACAGGGTGCTCCAACGGCGGCTGTCAAGTACGGGAATAATTTATGCGAGATTTTGTGCTGCCCACTTGCCACTGGCACAGTCGGGCGTCGACCTGACCGTGTTGATGGAGCAGTTCCTGGACGGTCCAGAGGTCGACGTGGATGTTCCTTGGCGGAGAAGTCTCGGATCTGCAGCAGCAAAGTAGTAAGAAGCCCTGAAAACACGGCAGCAGCTTTCTCAGGTCGTGATGTCGGAAGGCGGCCGGGTGAACTAAGTGTAGCTGGGAAGATTGGCGGTCGAGCTACGTGCTTTGAGAGTCTAGCGTATATAATATCCTGGAACCCTGGTTTAAATCACCCATGTCTTCTTGCAGCCAGGATGCGTCACGGAAGCGAAGCGGGTTCAACTTGGTTTGCTGCGTCGAGAATCGATGATGCCACAGCTCAGCTTGGCTCGAGCCATCCAGAGAAAGACATCTTTCCCGTTCAGGGGCTTTCGACCTTGGCCATGTCGGAGACCTCCGCAAGGGCCGACTTGAACACCACTTTGGTTGCCTACAGCATCCTGCAGCTTGTCTCTTCATGGCCTGCGCGTGCATTCGTATAGTTTGCTTCGGCAGGCTGGCATTTTGCAAGCTCGACCAGAAAGACAAGCTAAAGCCGACAAAACATCTCTGTCTCACAAAGGTACGCCTGTTTGGTGCTGGTTGGTGGCATCATTGGATTTGTTAAGGCGAAGAGCAAAGCCTCTTTGATTGAATCTCGGCCGCAAGAAAGAAGCAAATGTCCGACAAGGGCCACACCAAGGCATATCCTGAGAAGGTTATGCCTAAAAGATCTCACTCTCTCTCTCTCTCTCTCTCTCTCTGACAATCTGATTAGATTCACTGAGCCACCATGCAAGTCATCTAAGGCAAGCACAATTGTGAGTCTGGTTTTGGTCGCCATTGTCTACGCGACAGTCCAGGTGCTAGATGAAGTCCGTGCTTCTGTTCAGTTATGGGTCGAGGGGTATCATTTCGTGACGGTAGGCTCTCTGACTTGGACAGCACGCATTCGCGCGATTGGCCGCAAGATGAATCATGCAAGTCTGAACCGGCACTGGAGGAGGATGTCAGACGAGTAAGATCGAGCAAGCATAAAAGGCACACTGTTCAAATTGACCAGTTATGTATTGCACACATGCTCCGTTTTCACGTGATTCCACTGTTCTTATCTGCGAGGTGAACGCGTTCTACGGCGGCTGCGTCATGTGTGTCTTTAGCCTTGTGCTGCCTCGTGGCTGCATGCACCTGGAGCCAATCCCGCATGTTCGATATGATGTTCCTAGCTGCTAGCTTCGACCAGATGGCTGCGTCGGCTGTCGGCTGTGCCAAAGCCGAGGGTTCGAATGTTCTTCCAAAAGTTCAACAAGTCCGGAGAGGCTGAGTTGTGTCCAAATACATGTGACCCCAACAATTCGTGCCACCACGCAACCTGCATGCTGAGTGTTTGTGGCCATACATTTTCCCGTGTTTAGCGTCGTGCACATGCATCATCATGCATCTATGTCTAGCGATACCATGGAGAGGCAGCACATAGCTGCACCCCAGGTCGCGTAGCTTCCCCCCATCAGGAGAAACTGAACGAGCCTTTGACTGGCGATGGATCTCAGAAGTGTCGTGGCATCCATATGTCGCTCAGTGACACAGGGCCACAGCACAGACCGGTAGAGCAGGAGAAGAGAGACGAGCCGAGTTTGCAAAGGGAATTTTGGGATGCTGTACTGCACTCAACAGGAAGTTTATGCCGTTTGGGCTCCTGACGGTGTTGACACTTGGCAGCACCAGAGTTCAGGTCTTGCTAGATTTCATAGGTACAGCTGCAGTTCCAGTGATATGACTAGACATTGATTAGACTGTGACAGAATCGCCCTGAGAAGCATCTTTTGACACGACGTGTTGCAACAGCGGAATGTCGCAGTCGTGCAGCATCCGTTTGGTCTACTTAGTATACTTACACCCAAGCTTCCAATTCCCTAATGACTTTCCGCCGAGGGGTATGGGCCTCGCAGTGCATTTTGGCTTCAATTAATTCTCACCTGTGTAACTTCCCTGCTGATGGGCTGGGCCACTTGAAGTTTGGAGGCTTAGCTGCGCCGTGGCGGTCGTCGCATACTAGAAAGGCTTGTAACTTTTGCTGCATTTGCAGCCGTAGTATAGTGCGGAGATGACAATGCGGCAGGCTGTGAAGCATGGTGCCCATGAAGCCGGATGCCCCTTGGAGTGACCTTTGGGCATGCCCTCCGCACGCTCTGGGGGAGGAAGTTTGCGCAAGTTTGCGCGGCTGAGCACTGCAAGTTGCCCGTGCCTCTGTTTGAAGCATTTCAACAAGCACGTCCTGAGCTCGTGTGGTTAGGCAGTGCTAGTACAATTGAAGGCGATGGTGTGCGTCTATAGCTGTAGCACAGAGACCAAAATGCCACGACCACAAGTCGTCCTCGCCAGCTGAGAAAAGGACCAAGACTTCGAACTGCTGGATTGATGTTTTCAAGGGAGTTGTCACAGTCTGTGGCCAGGTGAGTATGTCTATGCTTGTGTTGCAGACAACGGCCCGACGCTGGAGCCGTATTTCAACGAGCTGGGGCCCCGAGAGTGCAGGGCATCAGGCATAAAACGCTGACGAAGGCACACGTGTCTGCCAGGACCTGGGCATGCTGCCCCTCCCTCCTGCCCAAGGCGCGCAGACAACCGATGTCATAAGCAAAGCATTAGCCTTTGTCTCTGTGACGACAGGACCAACAGGTGGCACTGAGAGACCTGGGTGTGCAATGTCGCTGTCTTAAGAGTTTCGGTTCCAGCATGCTGTGCTTCTTCCAGAGCACTGTTCCCGCAGCGAGCAGCAAAGCTCTCGGAGAAGCAAGGCATCAAAGCTCTTGGATTTACCTGTGGAGTCTTCCATGTGGAGCCCTGCCCTCAGTCGGTAGACGCGGCAGAGCACTTCTGCGAGCTTCTTCTGCGTACTCTGTTTACAGTCATGCGAGCGATCTTCGCCGACAACCACGGGTCGTCGGTGCTCTGACTTCAGGTTGAAGTACACCTCCCATGGCCCACAGCTGATCGAGGTCACGCAGCTTTCAAGCATCTGTACGACATGTTCAGGGACCTTGATAAGTCTGAGATCACAGCTGTCGTTGCAGGTCAATGCTCGAATGGGAGGAGGCTCGCGCTTTGACGATGGAAACATGTACAGAGAGAGAGAGAGAGAGAGAGAGAGAGAGAGAGAGAGAACGCTCCAACTCCAATCTCGCTTGAGACCTCACCTGTCTGCCTCCATTGGTCCATCGGTTCTCTGCTTCACTGCCAGCCCTTGCATCGGATCCCATACACTGGCAGGACAGGTTCACGAATGCAATCGCTTGACCTGGGGCGTTGACCTGGTAGAGGAGCTGGTCTGCCTTCTTCATCTGCTTGTGCTTCAATTTCTTGCCAGAAGGTAGCTTCACTTTTGATTAGAGGGGGATTAAATGCAAAGCTACTGGCTCCCCAAATACATGGACCGTGCTATGCAGGAAACGATGCTTGTTTCACTGGGAATCCCATCCCGGCCTTGCGTCGAGTCCTGAAAGCTCCGCATCAAATCGGTACTCGTCGCTCAGGGGGCGGCTGGCGGGAACTAAGGTTCCGCGAGAGCCCGTATCTGGCACGGCCTACTGCTACGTGACTCTGCCTGGTTGTCCCAGCAGCAAGGGGCGGTATCACATGGCGGTGCATCAGTCACAGCGGGAATGTTGTTCACATGTAGTCAGCTCTTGATGCACCAGGTTGGCTGAGAACAGTAAGATACTGATGCCTACACCAGCGTGGCAGGTAAATGCAATGAAGTCCGGCACCGTCACCGACATCAGTAAACTGGAGGCTGCTGCATTCGATGCAGGAACCGCTTGCAGGCCTTAAAGCCAGATCTTGCCAGCTCGGAAGGAGCTCCGAAAGCGAGACAACGTCGTGTGGGCCAAGCCGCTGACACGCGTGGGCGCTCAGGCCACGACACAGAAACATTTCCCTGGCCGTTGGGGAGTTGCAGCTTGCTGCAGTCGCTGAGCCAGATGCTATCAATCGAGTGTCCAAGAGACGTGATCAGCTGTTGTAAGAGAGGCTGAATCATGCTGAGACTGCCGATCCGAAGTGAAGGGCGGCAAAGCCGAGAGCGGTGGGTCGCCTCCGGGCCAGGCAGTGGGTCCCGCAGATGGACTGCCAACATGGTTGCCGCAAGCTTGGGGACTCGAGGCTTCTCTTCGAAGCCAACGCCAGCCTTCTGGCGCGAGTCATCAAAGACAAACGACTTGCACGAAAGCTCAGTTGGGAAAGACTCAGGTGTGACCTCTTCGTGCAAGGCAAGACAGCGAAGGAAGCACTGGCTTACCTGCAGGCTGCAAAGGGGTGGTGCCTTGCCCTTGCAGCTCTGCGTTCAAAACTGCAATGCTGAAGGCTATAGAGAAGGAGAACCCTGTGCTCGCTGGGAACTCAGAGCACCGGAAAACTCCATGTATCACTGCGTAGATGGAACAATAGAACGCAAGATCAGCAGAGACAAAGTTGTGTGCAATTGCTTCGGTAGCGGCAGGAATTGCTATCAGGTAGCATGATGATCTGCTTGCGGCGTGCTGCCGTCATCGTGCCAAGTTCTCGGATGGCAGGATTCATTGGTCTTGTGTCTATTCAAGCACTTGCTGACGCCCTGAAGCTGCAATTCTAGTCAAGGTGATGGACTTTGCCCATGACTTTCTCGGATCATCGCTTTGCTCTCCGTATCAGAATTTGCATAACAAGATGAGTTGGATAGTGAAACGGACATCGGGACCTTGGCATGTTAGTCCTTTCGGGCACCCGACACCCCCGTGAGTTGCTGAACTCCACCTAGACTTTTGACCCACCCGGCATTCCTGACCCATCTTGGAGCTTTGGCTCTGCGATGGTGTGATCGATTACACTTCTGCTGCGCTGTTTGCAAGTCCAGGTTGTGCAAGGAATCCAAGCACCCTGATATGTTGAAATATGCATCGTTAGATGCATTGTCGGAAGCACCGAAAGTACAAATCGGTTTGCTCGCAATGCTCATCTGATCTTCTGTGCAAAGATTCCAGCTCGCCGGAGTCTTAGCAAGCAGAGCGCAAGGTATCTGTGGCTCGGCATCTGCTAGCTAGACCTCAATATCTTTGGGCGATGGCCAACCAGAAATAGGCTGAACCATGGATGTATTCAGGGTAGCATGCTGGGGTGGAGCTCCAGCATAAAGTCGTTTAATTCTGCAGAGGAGGCTGCGTTGGTTTTGACTAAAACTGGTTCATTGTCATGGCTTTTCACGTCACACACCACAGCATACTGCTGCGTAGGCACTCGACCGCTGAAGTGTATGACGTTATGATACTTAATACAGGTCGGTCCCGAAGCAAGGCACTGCGCAGCACAATGCAACATCATGTCACATCGTTTGTCATATTCTCAATCCGGTATACAGCAAAGCAGCAAAACATGAAACAAACCAGCAAGAGAAAAACATCGATTGCGGAATGCAGGCTCTGTATCTAAATGTATTCGAGTTGGCATTAAACTAAATGAAGCAAAAAGCATTACAGTGTTGGCTCTGGGAAAATTAGCTCCGATTTCTGGAATGTCTATTGCTCTGTTTACTTTCGGTAGCAACATGTTCGTTTCAAGAGAAATCTCTGCTCAGAATATCATTTGTAAGATAGTCGTACATCGTACATCGTAAAGTCTACGTGTTTTGGTGGTTTTGGTGTCGCAAACTTTGGGTCAACTGTAGCGTTCAACATCTCTTGGGTGTATGGTAGCACAAATTTTGTGAGACTGATTCTTGGAATTTCCCCCAAACAGTGCGGTAACACCATGCGGTTCTTTGGTTTAGATTAAAGATAATGGATTGAGGTTGAGGTGTCCGAACGATGTGCGCATAAAGACATTAATTACTCTTCCCATCTTTCTATTTGTCGCAAATTCTGCAAATGTGGAATTCGTGCTCGGTTCACGGTGCTCGTTGAGGTGTGGGGTGTGCTTTTCGCTGGCGTCTTATTACTTCTTACTTTTGGAGAAGTCGTCCGGTGTTCGCTGTGGAGAATCTGACTTCTTTTTATTGTGATGCATGGATGATTGTTTGCTTTCTGTAATTTTGTCGTAGCAAAAGTTGCAGGAAAGGATTCGGGGTCTCTGTTTGGATGTCGCAAAATCAAAAGGGAAAGTGGAAGTTTCGTGTTGTCAACACACACTAGCATTCGGGAGAAAGTAATGTCGTATTAGTGGTAGAGTCGTGAGTATTTGGAGCAAAGCATTCGAGGTGCGGTTCTGAATGCACGACTATGGGGAAAGCATTCAGGTAATGTGCGGGCGGTCTCTTCGGGTTGGCTTGTCGGTTTCTTGTTGGTCTCTCGGTGAAATCTTGGTGGTCTCTGGATGTTATCTTCGTGGTCTTTTGGTTTCGTGGTGGTTGTTTGCTGGTCTTTTGTTGGTCTGCTAATCTTGATCGCAGGTTTGTCGTGGACAGTAATGTGGTAAAAAATGTAGAAATGTATGGATAAGTGTTGAAATACTAGTTTTATAATATTTATGTTTGTTTATACGTGGTAATGGTCGTGAGTTGTGACAGATTGGAGATTTCTATGATTGATTTAGATGGAAAAAAAGATAAGGGAGTTGTCGCTCATTACTCGCCTAGGTAGTAGGGAGCTAGGTGCAAATTGCGGTCAGGACCTTGAAGGGTCCGTTTCTACCATACACTTGATTTTCGAGGAATTAAGTAGGGGTGGAGGCCTTTCCCACCTCAAGGTGCTAGCGGTATTGTTTAGGCAGGAGGGCAAGCGGGGGTCTCTTCTCTTATTTTATTTTAAAGTTTTTCCATGTACGCTACATGGTAAGTTGATTTTTGTTGAAACATGATTTAATTTGTCTCTGTAGTATTAACGATTGAATTAGTATTCTTTAGGGAAATTCTAGAAGATAATAAGAAACGCGTTATATTATAAATTTATGATTTATATAGTTCTACCCCGGCATCTGTCCCTTTCTATGATTTTTTGAAATTATCTAATAATATTCTAAGAAATAAATATAATTACTATAATTTCGACTGTTTTGAATAAATTTGAATTACTTAATTTTAAATATAATTTGGGATAAATTTCGAGAATATCTTATTTTTTTTATTTATATAATTAATAAATTTCTCAAAATTTTGGTTTTAATATTTTTTGATATTTAAAAATTTATATTAAAGAAGATATGATTGAAAAAATACGTTATTTAATATTTTGGATTTTATTTATATTTTATAAAGATATAATATAAAATATGAATTATTATATGGAAAAATTGATATAATTTTTGTGATTATATTATATATTTGTTCTCTTGAGGTATGAGACGTAGTATCTCGAATAATGATTTTTTTTGCTTAGAATTTAATTTAATACTTTATATGACGATTTCGTTATTTTATAATATATTTATTATATTTTGAATATAAAAATATATGATATTAAACTTCGAAGAAATGGTTAATTTAGAAATCTTACTTTTTAATAAAGATTATTAAAAAAAACTAAACATATAATATGTATTTTTTTCTGATTCTGTTCCCTATTTATTTATATTATTTTTATTTATTTTAAATTTGATTATTTGATATGAAAAAACTTGAAAATTATATTTTTCGATTCTTTATTCGGAGATTTTTGCTTTTGTCGTTTTCTATTTAGAGGCGATTCTTCTTCTGAAATCTAAATTAGTCGAGCGTGATATAGGTCCGAATAAATCTCGAAGATTAGGTGTTTATATTTCATTTTTCTATTCGTTTTGTTACTTTATTTCGATAAATAATTATCTGTCGTGGTATAATATTAATTGAGACGAAGGCGTGTTATAATGAATTAGAAATCTCTATCTCAGCTATGGAACGTTTGATATTATTATCTATTGAGATTTTGATAGGGTCGGGCATATTTGAAAGCGAATCATGATATCGTGGAAAATATTGTCTTTCTTGGATTTGAATTCGAAAAATTTTCGGATTCTTCTTGTGGAGAAGACGAAAATGACATCGTTCATGAGACGATATGTCCGAAGAATTTCTTCTTAGATCTTTTGCGATTTCGTTGCCCTGACAGCTTTCGACCTGGAAGATTCCGTAGCAGATATTTTAATTTTGATAATTCTCTCTATTCAGATTCGTATCTCATTCGCTATTTCCGACGACAAGGAGGAGATAGATCTAGAATAATCTAGAAGATTCGACGATGATTGAGATCGAGATCTTTGTTCATCCGTATGAGATAGGCGACGATTTTGCCTTAGCAGCCATCTGCTTGAGCGCAATTCTACAGCCCGCGATCATTCTTTTATTCGAGAATCTCTTGGCATCTGCCAATTTCTGATTTAATTATGCCAATGGATCAATTGATCTTTATTATTCTTGTCTGGAGGAACAAGAGTCAGAGATTGCCGAATCTCTTCCGAAAGCAAAGATCAAGAATTTTTTCTCACGAATCCATTGAATTTTCTCAATCTTATCTTTCGGATCTTTGATAGAATTATGAAAGCTCATCTCATCCGTTTCAATATCTTGATCTTTGCCTCCTAATTTAAGAACGAGATTCATCTGAATCATCTATTAATTGATAAGCCTTCCGAGCTTTGCTTATCAGAAAAATAATAAAATGTGTCTATATTGACGTCATTGATCAATTTTCTGATATCTGATAAATTATAGAGAATCATCATATGAAATTTCATGAATTTCTTGCTCAAAGATATACAGAATAGGAAAAGATCAATCTCATATATTGTCACGAATTCTCGATATCGGTAGCTTCTCATATATTCGCACGACAAGCCGTCCCCAGACCGATTTCTGAAAAATATCCAGGTCGTCTATTGGTTGCATTTCGGGCAAGCGTATGACCGATCATCGAGAGTTCCAGAATCCATCAAAATCTGTCTTCTATATAATCTTCATTCAAATCCATCTCTATTCTATGAATAAATAAATAGAGATATATCATGATTCTTTTTGATCTCTTTGTCTGGAGGACGACATTTGTCCCTGTCAGCTCGATCAGGGCTATATTGTCTATCTCGCGTGAACAGAATATTGAAATGAGCAGGCATAACGAGAATTTTTAAGATCTCAATCTTATTATAATCAATCTGATCGATATATTGATATTTCTTATATGCCTTAGATTATTTCTATAGAAGAATTCTCGTAAATCGATATTTGTCACGGCCCGCGCATGACATATCTTATATGAGGGAAATATCTCTGATGATAATTATGAAGAAAGATTCATCATATAAATCGATGGAATTCGGCGGAATCCAAAATATATATCATATTATTGGTTGTTAATATCTTTCGAAATATCGTCGGAAGCTATCAAATCGTAATCGAAATTCTCTGTTCGAACATCAAAATTGCTTTCCGACCCAGAACTCTTCCGAATCTAAATAAAATCGAAATCTGGCAAATTTGGATTCGGACTGCCCTTTTTTCCGACCCAGAAATATCTTGGCGCGTACTTAATCTATCTTATTTTCGATCGTGATATATCTTTTTTTCATTCTCCAATTTTTTCCA